TTTTACGTAATTATTTATTTTATTTTATTTTATTTCATTATTTATTTGGTTCGTCTTTATAATTTTTATGTAACGTGGTAAAAATTTATTTTAATTTATTTTAAGATGGCTCAGATCGTTTATTTAGTAATTTGTGTTGGGCTTAGAAGGTGATTATTGCTATTTTCTCCAGATAGTTTACAGTTTTTCGATATATTGCTGTAGGATGATGCTGTTTTCTTTAGTTTCCATGCTAATTTTGTTGGGACTTAGTTTTTGGTTTTAATTTTTTTTCAATTTCCCATATATGTTTAGAAAGCATTGTACTGTTTGCGTATTTACCTTTTGTAAAGGATGTTTTGTGTGTGTAGATTCTTTGTTTCCAGTATCCTTCAATTACTCTTATGTAATTTTTTTCTTGGTTTTATATATTTATAATTAACCCAAACAAAGCAGTAAAATTACTAAGATACCAGGGGTTACTGAGTGTGAGAGAATATGAGAAAAAATAAATGAACAACAATTAAGAAGGCAGAAGATAACGATCGACATTGCATTTAAATTTTTGAAGATCAAAGTTGAATGGAAAGTAAGAAGCTGAAAGAGAGATCTACAAGTGAGAAGTGCAAGTGAAGGAACTGTTAACATAGAACTGACGGTAACATCTTGCCATTTCAACTGTAAAATGATGAGACATTGCTGCTTATCTAGTACAACGCTTAGATTCATAATTTCTAGGTACCATAGAGGAAAGTTTATCAGAATAATTATGATGAAAACATTTATAGAAAAGGCACAGGGAAGTTATGCTACAGCAATGGAAAAGTGACTGAAGCTGGGATGCCGGGTCAGGACCAAAGATATTGCCGATTCTTCTTTGTATCTTATCAAGAATCTCTAAATACTTGTCAGAAGAACCGAACCAGACCTTGCAGCAATATTCACCAATATATATATATTTATATATAGATTTTTTCTTTGACTCTGAACTTGAATGGTAGACGATTATTTTCGGCTAACGTACATGTTCTCTTTTTCTTTTCTGTTTTTCTTTTTGAACCATTTTTTCTCTTTCGTATTGGTTTCTTTATTCACAAATCAAGGCACCTAAGGTTTTCCGGACGAATGTAATTTCTTATATTTATAAGATTACAACTAGTATATATATATATATATATATATATATATAATTTTATTTATTCGTCTATCTTCAAACTTTTTTTATTTTCTACATTGTACATTTTCACTGTTCAAAATATTATCAGGATGGCAAAATGTAAAGTGATTGGATTTCTGACAGTTAACAAATGAATTAACATGAAAAGGATGCAGATGAACTGCCAATTTTCCAGTGCCCTTGTTGTGGAGAATGTTGTGTGTGCGCAACCCGGTGGGAGGATGCTTTTCTCTACGTGTGACCTACATCTTACCGTCACTCAGAAAAATAGGAATGTCACTGTCTATTTAAGGGAAATACATGGACGTAGTTGTAAATATCTGTGGCAAACAACAGTTAGGTCAGTAATTACCAGCATTCTGTTTAATTTGTGTTTGTTTTAAAATTTGTTTTCAGTAGGGTGCGGTGTGTGTGTGACTTAGCTAGATGAAAATTGGTGTGTAGTTAGTGATATGTTTTCTAATGATTGTATAAATTTAGCTTTAATTTGTTATCTCTTACTATATGCAACGTGTATTTTTTCTCCTATACCCTTAGTTTCAGAACCATGCCAGTTTATTTATTTTGCCAGATCAAAAGATCAAAGGTCACATTATCACAATTCAACACTCCCCCTCTGAACCACTAATTATGCTTCTCTTGAATTTTTAACTCGTCGACCGTTAGAAACAAACAAAATAATAAACTAAAAGTACTAAGAAAATTGTTAATGATTGATTTGTTTAACGGCATATCAACGACTTATACGTCATTTATTGCCGAAATTTAATTTTGGGTGGGGAGCTTGAAAGTACTAAAAATACGTTATTCTTCTTTTACAATTGAATACATGGTAGATGAAACTCAGCTTTTGTGTGTTTTGTGTGGACATGGTTACTAAAGGCGGGGATATGTGTGTGTTTTTGTTGTAGTCTTGTTATATTTTGAAATACAGTTTGATGTCTTTAAAAAATTGCCTGATATTATATGGATTAATGGATTAGGATATTATATGGATTAATGTCATGAAAGTGTTCTTTCATGTTAGTTGTTTGATTGCTTGATTTTGTTTAGCAGCATACTAACCTTTATGGTTTATTTAAATACCTGTTACGGAGCCAGCTAAGGGCAAATAGTTAACCCCAACCAGGGGGTCAAAACATTATGAAAGTGCAATAGATTATTACCAGAAATACTTTTTTGAAAAAAATATTACCAGCAATAAAAAATCTTGTCGGCATTAAATAACCCATTGAGGTTGATATGTCGTAAAACAAAACAAACCAAAAACGATTACAGATTTCTGGACACTACCCCTGAGCAGACAGGGAAATTGTTTCATTCTTACTCCTATGGCATACTTCTGGAGGTGTCTTCTCGCGACTCAGGGCTGGACATTGGGGATATGGGAACTCAATGCAGGTCCGAACAGTGTGGAAATGGATTGTCGATGGAGTTCCGGCCAAGGAGATCGAAGGATGATGATGATGAAGAGAGATCTGAAGCAATAAGAGAGAAAGTAAGCGATATGAGTTTGCCGGCCACTGTCACGGAGCGAAGCGGACATAGAAATCATCCCATCCTTACTCCTATGGCATCCTTCTGGAAGTGTCTTCTCCCGGAAATTGACTTTCCCAGACGCCATAGCTCGGGACTCAGAGTTGGACATTGGGGATCTGGGGACAGCGATGCAGGACCAAACAGTGTGGAAATGGATTGTCGATGGAGTTCCGACCAACCATAGGGAGGTCGAAGGATGACGATGATGATTGTCGTCATTGTCAGGACATTCCAGCCGTTGTGCTTCCGACATTCTTTGGGTGGCTGTCAATGTGGGTACTCTTCGGAGAATTTTGAATTGAACCCTTTATTTAATCTATGGCGAGGTAAATTGTTCGCGTTCCGCTGTCCATGTCATTTTAGAACTGCGCAGTTGTTGCTAGCTGCGTTTTCACTGTGTCCATACTACCTGACCCAGGGAGTGAACTCCCATTCAGTGGAAAAGGACCTGGCAGTGACTGACAGTGGTCGGTAACCTTTTGGAGAGAGAGGGCTAGACAACCATGCAGTGTCTCGGAGGAGGGCCATGATATCAAGGTCTTGACATCAGACCGCTCCGTCCAGAAGGCTGCTTTGGTCTGGGGGTTTAAAGAAGAAACAACAAAGTTAATATTATAATTATTTAAACAAGGTTCCTTATTTTACTGCAGGAATAACTGGATCGCAACTAACATAATCAACAAAAATGCAAATTCCTTACTACAAATGAAAAATGACAAATTATTTAATTTGGCATTTGTTTCTGCTTATTGTTCGATAACTCCTCCACATCAAATGAAATATTTGTTGATGACAAAAGCAAAAATTAATTCAGGTGATAATCATCTAATCTTGTTCATAAATGACTTTTACTATATTTCAGTTTCAAAAAAGTTTTTCATAAGCATATGGACTTCCAAAGTAATGATACCATCATTTTTACATTATTCAATAGGCTTTTATATTTTCTGCTTGGCAAAACTTATTTCTTAATAAGACCATTACTTTAGTCTGATGAAGTACTTTTAGACCAGGGTTTAGCAACCTTTTGGAGAGGACAGGCCAGAATGCTATACAACCTCTCAGTGAAGGGCCATGATATCAAATGTACCATAATAAATTGTCTCACCCTCTCATCGCTCCATCCAGAAGGCTGCTTTTAATATTATAATTATTTAAACGAAGTTCCTTATTTTACTGCAGGAATAACAGGAAAACAACACAACAACAAAAATGCAAATTCCTTACTACAAATGAAATCCAGTTAGAAATCGCAAATTATTTATCGAGATACTTGTGTTTTTTGGGGTTTTTTTTTATTGTTTAATAAATTTCTAGATCAGGTGACATATTTATCATTGACAGGAGCAAAACATAATTCATGTGGTCATCATTCAACCTTGTTTTTAAATGACTTAGTATAATTCGTTTTCAAAAAAGTTTTGTTCACAAGCATATGTACCATCATTTTCGTATTATTCAATGCGTTTTTTTCTATTTTCCTCTTAGCAAAACATATTTCTTGTAGAAATCAGTAGTGTATTCGTAATGAAATTTTGATTTTAAAAAATTTATTGTAAGTCGATTAACTCCAACGGATATTTTTCTGCTACTTGCACTGCAAATTAATTAGATAATTAGTGTCCAAGTGTTAAGTTGGAGGGCCGGACAAAAATCCTTCGCTGATCGGATGTGGCCCGGAGGCCGGGAGTTGCTGACCCCTGTCCTAAGACATGGCCAATGAAACGAAAACAATTTACCAATTACTTCAGCTCGATACTTCTAACCTAAGTCGCCGCTTAAATATCCGAACTTTTATTTAGTATTGAATTACTTCTTTTCTGAATAGGTATAGATCTGTTCACCTATCGTCCGGTTTACACTCCTCCCTAGTCTTTTAAGTAGAGATTTATCCCTTGTTTGCTTTTTAGGATTGGGTTTTTGGTTCTTTCTAAAGCCTACTTTTCACTTCCGGTGGCTTCTTGCGTCTTATTGACATTATCTCCTTGCTTGGGGTGATGTTCTTATTCTGTAACCCTATACCCCGAGTGGATTGTGGGCCTTGTACTGGGTGAATATCATTGTATAAAAATGATTTGGTTTGCATGAGTGTCAAAAAACGTAGACGTAGGTTTTCTTTGGATGAGTTTCAAACGGTAAACATGCATAGAATAAACAGGTGGTCCCTAGAATGCAGTTGGTGTGTTCTTCAAACAAGGAAAGAGATTGTAAAAAATATTTGTTAAAAATATTTATTGATATATCTTTGAGCCTTATATTTAAATAATTTTGTTTCAACTGCTTTTAAATTTTTTTTATTTTGCAG